AATATAATATCTTCCTCTGAATTAGTCAGAAAATTAGTTTAATATGAAAAAGAACATAGGTTCATAAAAAAAAACTGACAGGTTTTGTTAAAAGCACTGAACAAGAATCTAAAGAAAGGAAGAAGGGTGAACCTGCAGATAGAATATGTCGTAGCGATGAAGGTGTGAAAGAAAAGACGGCTGAAAAATGGAAGCCAAATATGTTCGAAAAACAGAGAGCACCTAGATGCTATAAATGCAATTCAGAGAATCATCTCCGATACCAATGCCCGCAATTAAAAGCTACGGCGGAATCCATATAAGTCGGAAATAATTTGGATATTTTGGGTACCCCAAACATGTGGCTTGACCCATATATTAGTACTGTGAAAGTCAACGATCGAAAGATTAAAATGTTTAGAGATACTGGATCCACTATTAACTTAATAGGAAGGGATCATGTAACATCAGAAATGTTGTTAGAGGAAACTGTCTTGATCAAGCAACCTTTGAACCCGCAACCGATTCGATTGCCTCTTGCACAAGTAGAACTCGAAGGAGGGAATTTTGGGAAGGTAATTACCAAAGCAGCAGTAATAGTAGACCTAAATCAGGAATATTATTTATTGGATAATCGAACAGCTCAGTTGATTGACCGTAATAAAGATCTTTGGTAAAGATAATGTAGTACAAGCGAAGATGCCCCAACAAGATGCAGCTGTTACCCAAACAAAAGAAAGGAGACGAAAGTCAGGGAATCCATACAGATGAAAAAAGGAAGTTTCCCTGTCGAATCAGCTAAGGCCCGAGGCAAAGAAAGGGTGAAGTGTCCTCACCATTCGGACAACTGGTCAAGAAGTGGACAAATCACGATAACAAAAGCGGTCATTAACCCACGAAGTGCATGGGCTTCTTTAGATTTCCGAAGAAAGTAAAACTTTTCTAAGAAAAAGACGCTGGTCTGCCAGGACGAAATTTTGTCTGGAATCCCGGAAGAAAGAACTCTGAAAGGAAGGAGTGCAGGAAGACCCCCGGAGCGTTTCCATTCACGATGTGCTGTTCGGAAATCTGAAGCTGAACATCGAAATCGAACAGATAACTGGCAAAGTAGTTTTCAAAATAGGAACAAAATATTTAGCCGTAAGTGGAAAACCCACACACATAATGAAGGCTCAGAAGTGCAAAAACACACCAAATAGATTGAGATTTTATCTGAATTAGGTCCCAATAGGAGCCGAGAACTTGTTTTGAGTACAATAATTGTTTGTTGTTTTTTGTTTCGGTTTTTGTTTATTGTGTATTGGTCCTTTTGAATTATTAGGATTTATTGGTTCTTAGCTTTATAGTATAGTTGCAGCTTGCAATTTTGATGTGTTTACCACCCGGGTATGCATAAATACCAGTGGGCTGAGTCGTCTAGAGGAACACTCTGTCTAGGGTATGATTTCTCATTTTGTATTGACATGTATTTTTATATGTGTAATATTATACAGACTAATAACAGCTTTTGTTTTTGTTAAGCATATTGTAATGGTGTATATTATATATATATATATGTGTGTGTGGTGTGTTGTGTGTATTGAATTTATTAGTTCTCGCCTCTAAGGTAATGCCTAATTGACATATATGTGAACTATCTATTAGTGACATTATTACTATTAGTATTATTATCATTGAACGCAACAGTGTTCTTGTATAAATGTGCTTGAGAAAATTATTTAGAGGACAGATATTTATCTCCTGTGTAAGGGGGAAGGAATATAGCTGTAACGTTTTAAGCTATTTATCGACCCTCACAAAGTTCTCAGAAAAAGAATGACCACCTCAAAAGTTCCCACAGACAGAATATTTCTTAGCGAATTCTAGGAAAGAGGAAGTGACCAGCAGTCACAAAACAGTCTCAGCTTTTTTGTTCCTCTTATAGTTGTTCGAAAGGAGACATTGTTCATTCCCTTTCAGGATTTTATAGGTTCAGTGTCCTCAACCACCCGGTTTGAGACAGTTGGAATCTGAAAGTTCTCACGGACTTTTTTTTTCCGAGGCTGTCTTCATCATATCATTTTTAATCAAAGTGCTCTTGCCAATCAAGAGGCGCTTCCAAATATTACGGAAAATAAGATCCTGGAAGTTTTTCCGACACGCCAGGACAATTTGAACAAAATCATGGACCAGTTCCAGAGAGACGAAGTGAGAGTTTAGTTGCAGTAGTAGAGAGAGAAACCTTCTTCGGGTTAATACTCGGCCAAGCAATTTTTGTTAGCTCTGCGTAGAGCGATTACTATATCTCAGTCCGAGATTTACAGCGAGGTAGCGGGTTCGCCGCCTATTCAAAGAGCACTACTCGACACAGCTCAGTCGGCAACCACCGGCTGAGAGCTCGATTTATTCAACAGCCTCATCTTGCCTACCTCGTCTTGACTTTCCAAACCAGAACTTTCATCTAAACACGAATTTATTCACCCTATTGTGAGAACAATATTTTATAAGTTTATTTATTTTTATTTTTTTGCATATAGCCTAGAAAGAACCCAAATAAACCATCTACATTACCCCTTGTCTTTCGAATTCGTTACAGTACAATATAATCAAAATATTGAAAAAGATTGTGGTGTTTTGACAAAAAATAATGGCGTAACAAACACTGTACACCCATGCAATATCACTTGGATTCCTATGCAAGCGAATTTTTGTGGCAATGAATGTGGTGACTATTTTATTGCTATGTCAAATGCCATGATTGAGAATGATTGGTGAAAGTTTTTCTGTTTGTCAGATAATCTCAGAGCCGGAGCTGCTATGGCCATAACTTATCTGTTCTTTATGTAAATAAAATATCAATCTATGATTATTAAACTAGATAAAAAGCAATTAGTTGTATTTTAACTAAATAAAAAGCAATACTTTCACCAGAATAATTCACCATAAGTTTTGGGGGGGGATATCTGTCAACTTTCACTTGTTCCTGGGAAAAGAATTAAGTATGCATAGTTAAAAAATTATTTTCAACCGGACGATTTTCTGATAGAATTTAAAATGTTACTATATCAATTTTTTCCTTACGAGATTACCTCTTTAAAGCAGGGGAAATATAAGAAAATCATCTTAGATTTTGCATGTTTTTGATGCCAGATTTATAAATTTTCATAATATTTCTCTAATTTGATTTTGATAGAATGGAAAATGAAAACAAAATTAATAAATATGAATTCAACAAATAAATTGTTAAAGTGCTACAATCTTTTATATTCAAACGATTGTTTTTGATAATAATTTTATTCAGCAGATTTAGATACGTAGCAGAAATGTTGTTTAATCAGATATAATATTTTATGGCAATCTATAGGTTTACAGCATTGTCACTGAGGATATCTGGGGAAGCATTATTCCTCTTGGAGGTAGTAAATGAAGCATTGAAGAATAAATGGTCAGTGAAGACATGCTTGAAAAATTTGATTGAGAGTTTTTTTTAAATAAATACATAAATATCCACCTAATTATATAAACATTAGTCTCTCATTTTTACAAGAATTATACCAAATCATTTAAATTCACACTTTATGAATGTTGATTCAGTTCACACTTTATGCCTAATTATGCAAACATTATTCTTGCAGTTTTACAAGAATTGTACCAAATCATTTCAGTTTACACTTTATCCATGTTGTTTCAAATTACGTATGGATGTAAAATTAATTTTTAGCTCAGGGAAACATACAAAATGCAAGGTAAAACATGTGAAGCACAGTTCTTGGAAATTCATATGTAGGCAAAGTTCGCTACAGTAATTCATATCCAGGCGGAGCTGCAGTGCGTGTCTCACAGTGTGATAAATCAAGTACATTATTACACTGATGTCAGAGGTGGCCATTTCGAATACTTCTTGTAAAGGGCAATTCAGCTGTTCATTTACAAAAGTAAATTTAGTATTGGAATTATTCACATTTTCTGGGACAATTTTATTTTGATCTCCCATTACTGAAAGAGCGAGTGATGATGAACAAAGAAAAGACTCGAAAATGATGGTTAAAAAAATGATGGCTAAAAAGATTGAAAAGGGAAACTGTGAAACAGTTAGCCACTGTAAATAAATGTTATTACTTAGGATTCAATTTTGATTCATGTTGAATAATTAAAGACTCAGTTATGAAAGAAAAACTTAACTGACTCCATTGTTTTAATAAAAATTGAACTTGCATGAATATTAGTCCTAGGTATATGTGCAACTACTAATTATCATATTCTATATATATATATATATAATATACACAGTACAAGTACGTAATCGGACATCCTTATCGGTGATTTATAACCAGAGCTCAAGCCACAAATTTCTTTGATGCTTATGCATGCGCGTCTGCGTTAGTATAACGGACTTATAAGTAGGTAAAATATCTTTATGATTCTAAGGCATTTCAGCTAATGTGCAGATTGCTCTGTTCCTAATCTTCATTGCTCCGGCTTATTTTTTTTGCAATGTAAGCAATTTTAAAATTTAAGCTAAACGTTCGATCGATGTCAAAAAGAGTTCCAATTCTGGAGTGCAAAGATCTACAAAGTTAAGCATGTTTCGAGTCCATCAACTAAAGTTATTGCTCACCAAATAAAGGCATATCCTCTCAAAATTCTGCGGGAATATGACTTGAAGTCAGTTGTATATGAATAGCAAAAGAAAAGAAATTTTGATTTTGAATGAAAGGTTAATAAAGTAAACAAGTAAAGTGAGCTTTTATTTTTTCTAAATTTGTACCCCTATCTAATTGCTTTTATTTCTAAATTACATTTCAATTTTATTGTATAATTTCTGCATGCCATCTTACCAGATTTAAATTGATGATCTATAATCCGGAAAACCCCCTAATCCGGAGTCCCAACGAGTCTGGATTATGGACTTTGTACTGTATTATAAAGCTGATATGCAATTCCTTTGAAATTACATTTTTGAAATCTTTCTGAATTTTTGATGCAGTAAAATTTTATATATTATGTTTTAATTTGAAATAAGATTTAATTTCATATTTTAGATAGGACTGCAAGATCTGGCTGCTATTCATTTGTTGTCTCAAGCTTCTATCGATGACTTGAATTCAAGGATAGAGGATGATGA